ATGCTTGGTGTGTGCGTGACACTGAACAAAATTAAAATTTGCGGTCCAGTAATTTTCAATTGTTAATCCGCTTAGGCAAAATTGAACCGCTTTCGCAAGATAATCTCTTGGTGTTGATGTAACGTATAACTAAACAGTTACAACATTCTTGCCATGTGCTTGATATAATATGTTATTACAGAAAGAAGTGTGGCATACACGCACATCACCACTTTCTCATACAAGTCAAACCTCCACAAGCAGCAAAGATCTGACGATGAAAACACAATATAAATAATTTCTCTCATAAATATTACATGAATTTTTGCTGGGGGGGCTAATCCAGTTTTTCACGGTATTAACCTGCATGCACGCTTGTATTTCACTGTGTAAAACATTCATCGTGGTTTACATTAAGGTTTAATGAATCAAAAAAAGCGCGGCTTTTACTACAGTTACTGCTGTCGCTTCCGACACTTAGACAATGCATGGCACATTACGGATAATTAATAATATTTGTGTAAACAACTCCTTCCTAACAACGTAGGCGGGCGTTCAGAGATGTTGCGCAACGATCGAACAGAGACAAGGCAGTGACTCTCGACATACCAATGTACGTCATGAAGCACGTGATCAACGGACAGCGCTGGAAGGAAGGTGACCTTGAGTATCACACGAATGTCACCGTACCCACATTGCTCCTATTCGGCATGGACGATAGGTTTGTCGGACTACAGGACGAATGCGACATGCTAGAGGTGTGTCTGGATCATACTCGCACATCGCAGGTTTATGATGTCGACCGTATATAAATTATGGATCATTTGAATGAACGCCGAAACATTCGGAATAACAGAGTACCGCGTTACTTTCATATTAAAATGCGAGGTGGCGTCGATCGTGGTTTTGACTCGTAAAGGACGCTTCAGGATTTAATTACGTGTAATTACTGTTTCGTAAATTAAGAAAAATCTGCTACAGAGCTATCTGTTATCTGTTATCTGTTTTTTATACGAGACTTTCTCATGACGTTAGTCTCGCAAACGCAATTGCACAACAACTACAGACGAATAATTGCGTTTTTACTTGAAATGATAAAATGGCGAATCTGCCAAACATTGGCCATCGTTTCTAAGAGCATTGCAATGGCCTTTTAAATCTATGCGTGTGCGTGCGTGTTTGTGTGCGCGTGCGTGTTTGTGTGCGCGTGCGTGTTTGAGTGTGCGTGCGTGTTTTAGTGCGCGTGCGTGTTTGAGTGTGCGTGCGTGCTTGAGTGTGCGTGTGTGTTCGAGTGTGCGTGCGTGTTCGAGTGCGCGTGCGTGTTCGAGTGTGCATAAGCGTTTGAGTGTGCGTGCGTGTTCGAGTGCATGTGCGTGTTTATGTGTGCGTGTGTGTTCGAGTGTGCGTGCGTGTTCGAGTGCGCGTGCGTTTGCATTCAAACGCTCGCGATTAAAAGAAAATATTACAGATGTGTTTAATTTCAGGCTCTAGTGGGATCTAGGCTGGAAATTCTGGAAGGCGCCGGTCACATGGTAATGATGGAGAAACCGGGAGAAGTTAATATTCTTATCCACGATTTCATATCCAGGTGATTATATATATAGTGTGTGTGTGTGCGTGTGCGTGTGCGTATGTGTGTATGTGTGTGTGTGTGTGTGTGTGTGTGTGTGTGTGTGTGTGTGTGTGTGTGT